AGAGGAAAAGTGAGGAAGCAAGTTGCCAGGTCCAGGACTTGAACCTGGTGGTCAGCCTTGTGGGAGTGTCCAGTACCTTAACCACCACTACTGGTCCCCTATGCCTGGTGTGATTTTTAAGCCACTGGATCCAGGACTTGAACCACACAGTCAGCCATGTGGGATCCAGCCACCCCAACCGACACAGCCCTGGCTGGCCCTGGCTGACGTGTTTTAAGACTTTGTGGACTGCGTGCCGTCTCCCTCCTGGAAGCCTCAGCATGTCTCTCAAGTCCTGGAGGCAGGCCTCTACACCAGGTGGTGGTGGCCACAGGTCGCTGCCACCAGTGTGATCTGGTACCCGGTCCGATCACACTTCCTCGGCTGTGCACAGTTAGCAGCCGGCTTGCTTGTGTCAGATTCCTGTGTCTCCCTTTGAAGAACACCCCCACACTCCATGTCTGCCCTTTCCTCCTCACAGACAACAGGCTACCCTTACAATCTGGCTCTCCTTCCTTATTCATGATCATGTGCATGTGCGCACATGGGGCAGGGGCAGCGTCTCCACTGGGGCCGGCCACTCTGTGGGCCCCTTCCTGCAGGCTGCCAGCCCTTTGGCTCTTGGACACACACACACCCCCGGTGTGTCCAGGCTGACCGGGCCAGGGACACAAGCCACCATCTCCACCTAGGGTTTGGCTTCTAGCGAGCAGCAGGTTCCTGCTGCACTACAGAGCTGGCCCTGGCTCGCCTCTAGCTGTTTTTCTGTTTGCTTCCTGGTATTCTCTGCCCGCCCAGTTCATTCAGGCTCAAGTCAGTGCCTGGTCCCGTCGTTAGGCAAGAATATGCAGGTGGGTGTGCGTCTGCTGTGGTCAGAGCAGGAGGCGTGCGCCTTGCTGGCCCTCCGAGGCGTGTTACGTTGGCCCCGTGGCTTTGGGTGATGACAGCCTGACCCTGCTAACGCGAGTCACTGGGCGTCTCCTCGGGTCCACAGAGGCTGTACCCCAGGGCTGCTCCTTGAAAGGTGCGTCGAGGGAGCGGGTGAGATGCGGAGTGCTTGGCCTTCAGTCGCCGTTCTGAGGTTAAGGAGCTGTGCCTCATCACTGCTGGCGTGTCCGGCGCCTTGAGCCTGTCCTGTCTCTCGCCCGCCGCGTACCCTCAGTGCGGAGCTGACGCCTGTCATTCCCGTGGCCCACTCCATTGCCTCCCTTACCCTCCGTGGAGCTCGGCCGTCCCACCCTGGCCAGGGGGAGTCTGTGCGCTTGGCAGGGCTCCCCTGCCCCTGCCTACCAGACCATCCAGGCTCTGCCCGAGGCCGGCAGTCCTGCCTGCACAGGGCCTCGCTGCTGCCCGGCCTGACGGTTCCCAGGCCTAAAAGTAAAAGATTCAAACATATTTCTTTTTAGGGATTATTTTATCTCTATTTATCTATATGTCTACTTATTTACTTACTTTTAATTTGACCAGAGAGGGACAGAGAGAGAGAAAGAGAAAGCAAGCAGCTGGGTCCAGAACTCGAACTGCGGTCAGCCATATGGGAATCCAGCACCCTTAATCACCATGCCACCTGCTGGCCCCCACACTGATACTAAGTGCATTCGATGTTACGGGGCTTTCCCTTCACTGAGTTCATACTTGCACTTTCGTTTCTGGCGAATCTTGGGTTAGCACTTTTGATGGCATTGAATTTCACAGTGATGTGTGCTGCCCGCACGTGGTACCTGTCCTTCGGAGCCCGCGCGTGTGTTACCTGTCCTTCGGAGCCCGCGCGCGTTACCTGTCCTTCGGAACCCGCGCGTGTTACCTGTCCTTCGGAGCCCGCGCGCGTTACCTGTCCTTCGGAACCCGCGCGTGTTACCTGTCCTTCGGAGCCCGCGCGCGTTACCTGTCCTTCGGAACCCGCGCGTGTTACCTGTCCTTCGGAGCCCGCGTGTGGTACCTGTCCTTCGGAGCCCGCGTGTGTGTTACCTGTCCTTCGGAGCCCGCGCGCGTTACCTGTCCTTCGGAACCCGCGCGTGTTACCTGTCCTTCGGAGCCCGCGCGTGGTACCTGTCCTT